TAGAAGCATACTATTTTCTCTTTTTTTTTTCTTTCTTGTGGTTTTTCCCTTTTGTTTTGATTCTTCTTTCACAACACAACTAATGTGGAAATATATTTAATATGATTATACATGAAAAAAAGAAATTACAGGTCTATTTGAGACAAATAAAAGTCAATTATTATGAGTATATAAGAACTGAAGGACTAGGAGAGTCCTAAGAGAAAAAATGTTTTAGATTTCTTTCTATTTCAACTATAGGCTAATGACAAAATGCCTGGGCAGCCTGAATAGGATTTACTGATCATTCAGTTTAAAATCTGAATTAGTGTCATTTTTATACCTGAGGAAACAATTGAAAATAGAACTATAATTAGAATCTCCTGCTTCTATTATTCCAAGCAATCAATAAGCAGTTATTAAGCACTTAACCATATGCCAGTAATTGTGTTAAAGGAAGGACAAAAGGACCTGGCCCTCAAGGCCATCACATTCTAATGAGAGAGAGAAAAAGTGTACATATAAGATACACATAGTGCAAATGGAAAGTAATCTCAGAGAAAAGGCACTGGCAATCAGTAGTAGTAGGGAAGGCTTCCTACACACAGTAGCAGTTGGCTTGACTCTTGAAGGAAGCCAAGAGGTAGATATGGGGAGAAAGAGCATGCCAGGAATGGGGCATCCAGTGAGAGGGCATGAAGTGGAGAGATGGAATATTGTGTGTGAGAAGGGCAAAGATGTTCCGTTGTTCCGTGTTACTGGATTATAGAGATTGGAGGGGAGTAAAGAATGAGGGGAGTAGAAGTGAACTACAATGGTGACTACCCTGGCCCCTCAGAGTTACCTGAAGGCCAGGTATGTTACATTTCAGCCCTCCCCCGGGGTTTTCCACTACTTTTAACAGGAATAATTTTTGGCCTTTTTTTTGTGAGGCAGTTGGGGTTAAGTGCTTTGCCCAAGGTCACACAGCTAGTAAGTATCACGTGTCTGAGGCTGGATTTGAACTCAGGTCCTCCCGACTCCAAGGCCAGAGTTCTATCCACTGTGCCACCTAGCTGCCCCTACTTTTAACAGGATTGGAGAGTGTCTTGTTTTGGCCATTGGCTCAAGGTTTCGAGTATTGTGCCCTCCCAATTTTAAAGGTCTCCAAGTACCCCAGTTCCATTTAGTTGCTTTTACAAAGGAATATTTATTTCAAAAGTATAGCAAGAACAAACATACAAACAAACATTTTCCCTCCAGTACCTGAGGGCATAATCTTCCCTTTTTTTTTTTTACCACTTCAGTGGTAAAAGGGTGGCAAAGGGGAGAAGGGTCAGAGTTGGCCTTTAGGAAAATCCCTTTAGCAGCTCAGTGAAGGGTAAATTGCAATGGGGAGGGACTCAAGTAAAGGAGACCAATCTGAAGTTTATTGCAACAGTCCAGGTATGAAGTGATGAAGGCCTGCATCAGGGTAGCAGCTGTGTGTGTGGAAGGGAGGAGATGGACATCTCATGAAAGCAGAAACTATAATACAAGACAATAGATTGGATATGTGGGGTGAGTATGAGTGAGAAGTCAAGGATGACCTGGAAGTTGAAAGCCTAGATGACTGTGAAGCTCGTCTTGTGGTGCTCTCCATAGTGACAAAATGTTTGGAAGAGTGCTAAATTTGGGAAAGAAAAATGAGTTTAGTTTTAGACATATTGAGTTTGAGTTGTCTGTGGAATATCTAGGTTGAGATGTCCAAGAGGCAAATGGTGGCATGAGACTTACTAAAATGAGTGATTTTGCTATGAACTAGCCACTAGGAAAGAGCAGTTCCTAAATAGAACTTAAGCATCCTCATGCGGTTTATTGAAGATACCCTAAATAGCCAGAAGAGGTCTCTAGAGGATTAGAGATGAAGGTGATTTTTGTGTGTTGCTTCTTGGTTTAGGTCTCCACCAGCTTGCCATGTGGGTCGTTCATAGGCTTGTAGTCTCAGATCAGCTTGCGGGGTGATTGGGTAGGATAGTAGCTCCCAAATAGCTTACAAGAGTTGCCACATACAAGACCGAGTGTTGACACCCATTTGGTCTAGTAGCACAAACAAAGCTCATCAGCTTTCTTTTTTATACGAAAACGATCCCATCTCTGACATATGACATTGATGTTGAATCATTTTGATTCTCAGAGATTATTTATAGGGTGGTGATTAGCATCAGATCAGAATGTTCATCTTTCTTATCTACACTCAGGATGGGGAAATCTGTTATTGATAGGACTTAGGTGCTGAATAAAACAAAGAACTACTCCATTTGGGTCAGGGTTGTTGTTGTTGTTCAGTTGTGTCCTACTCTTTATGACCCCATTTGGGGTCTTCTTGGCAAAGATACTGGAGTGGTTTGCCATTTCCATCTCCAGCTCATTTTATAGATGAGGAAACTGAGACAAATTAGGATTAAGTGACTTGCCTAGGTCATATAGCTAGTAAATGTCTGAGGCTACATTTGAACTCAGGAAGATGAGTGTTCCTGATTCCAGGCTTAGTGCTCTATCCACAGCACCACCTAGCTACTCCGGGGCCAAGGTGGACGTTACCCATAAAAGTTTGTTTGGGGTTTTGAAGGACGGTTGTATAAGAACATACCAGCTACTTCATAAGGTTATTCAAGGAATCAAAGATTTGCAGAATTCCCGCACATACTCCCCAAAGAATCCATACTTCAATGAAACGAACAAAAGATTCATTTGCCTAAAAACCTCTAGTGAGCATGAAGTAGCTCCCATTCCACCTTTGTATTACTCTAATTGTTAGGAAGTTCTAATTGTCCACTGTTAGTTGATATTGTCTAAATCTGTCTCTCTGCAACTTCTATCCACAGCTACTTGTTTTATCCTCTGGGACTAAACAAAATAAGTCTAACCAAGACAGCCTTTTAAATACTTGAAGACAGCTATAAGGCTCTTTCCCATCCCCTTCAATCCCTCCCACCACACATACTTAGTCTTCTTCTTTTTTAACATGCTAAACATGCCCATTTCCTGTAATGACATGGGTTCAAAGTTGTTCAACATCTTGGTCAGCCCTCCTTTGAACATCTTCCAACTTATCAAGTTCTTCTAAAATATAAGGGCCAGAAGTGAACACACTACTCTAGATGTTGTCTGATCATGGCACACCTGTTAGGATCAAGTGACATAACGCATAGAAAACGTAAACACTTAAATTTAAACTATGATAATCATGATGGTGATGGTGATGATGATAACCATATATACTGATGAAGAAAAATCTTATAGTAAATGGATTGATTGGATTTTCCAGTTCTTGTTCATTTTACTTGTGGTCAGACAGGCATAATTATTTTTTATAGAAAATTATTTCCCCCCCATGGATTTTCTTTGTTGGGTCTCATTTGCTTATTCCTTAGAAATTGTTTTCTCCTTAATTTATTTAAATTTTTTTTGTCAATTTATTCAGTATATCTTCATTCTTAACCTCACATTGATGGATCACCATCATCATTTAGAAATAAAATTATTAATGAATTATAACAAAACTGGCTAATGGACACTTCCTCCTATATCTGATCCTTAAATGAAAATGTGACATTACCCATAACATGCCCAACCTCCTGATCAAAAATAATTTACTCTTGAAAAATGGCAACTTCCTGTTTTTAAGTAAAGAGCTTCGATTAGCTTCCTATAAATGACATCGCTGTTGAGCTATTGTGCAAAGGAAGCAAACATGTACGAGTTACATCCTCATTTACTTACACATAATTTCTGAGATGTTAGTGAAAAAAGGAAAGTGAGTTTTTCTAAAGACCTACCACTTCAAGTATAGTTTGAACATCCAAGTTTACTTTCATAGAATGATAAAATTCCAGAATTGGAAAGCATCTCAAAGGTCATATCATCTAACCTATATTCAAGATAGTACAACTTTAATCTGAAGAGCATAAAAACAAAAATTGAACAATATAGTGTTATAGTTGCACATGCCTAATAGAAATATAGAAGAACTTTCACTCAGTGAAGTCAGAAGATGTGGGTTTGAATCCTGGCTTTTCTACTTTACCGCCTCTGTGAGCATGGACAAGTTCTTTCACTTTTCAATGCCCCCACCCCAAACATTTACTGGTGGCAGTCTTTCAGTCTCCCCTATCCCCTCAATTAGTGCTAAGAGGGACCAGGCACATTCTCCATGTCAATTCGGGTTTGGGTTGTGATAATACATATTATTAAGTATTTACACCTAAGACATTAACGGAGAATTTAAAAATAAATAAAACACAGTTTTTGTTATTTTTTTCTCTTAAAGACCATATAATTTAATAGAGGACATAAGATATTCGCACAAATTAATATAACAGAAAATAGTACATAATAAGTATGTACAGGTAAGCAGAACAAAGAAAATCACAGCACATCACCAGAGGGGAGAAAAGTAATCACTAGTAGAAATAATAAAATAAACTCGAATTTATAGAAAGCTTTAAGATTTGCAAAGTTTTTGACATCTATTATCTCAATTGATTCTATGGTACACCATTTCATTGCATTCTGCTCCCTAACCACAAACACTGGTACAAAGTGTCCTGAGAATTCGTAGAAGGGAGAGATTGTTTCCTCATGGATTTTCCCTATGAATCCAACTGAGTTTGAAGACTATGTGGAGGAAGGTAGCATTGGAGCTAGACTTTGAAGGACACCTGGGATCTGAGCAAACAAAGATCAAATAGGAGAGTGTTAAGGTAGATCTACAATTCAACTCAACAAATATTTATTAAATGCCTATTGTGTACAAGAAACAGTGTTAGTTGAGAGGGTGGTACTATGACAAAAATAAAATAATCTTTACTTAAAGTTGCTAAGAAGGGTATAATATGCGTATAGGTGAGGGCAAAGTATAGGTAAAATAATAAAAAAATAAAATATTAACAACTGGTGTGTGGGGATGAGGAAAAGTTGCCCTTCCATGGTCACCTGCATCACTCAGAAATCATTATTCATCCAAAGCTCTGAGTTCCTCATTGTTCTCATTCTCATAGATGTCTCCTGGAAACAGAAGAGGTGGAAGAACAGAGGGATAGACATACAATATGAGCCTCACATCTCCTCACTTTTAGTCCCTTCAAGTCCTACTCCCAGGTCACCCCTTCTCCACTAGGGACATGGACCTCCAAACTTGGATTCTACATGTTGGGATCTTGGCCTTCCTACACTCAGTGACACTGGAGAACAGAGTGAGGCAGACAATTTTGCGCAGCTCTGACTCATTTAAATCCAATTCATGGGCAAGTCAAGACATCACCCTTGTGATGTCATTGGTCCTCTTCAGTAATGTTGGATGAAAAACATGTTGGGGAAACAGGACAGTGGCCTGAGGGGAGGGGCCACAGCTGTTAAAGATACAGTTGCCAGCAAAGGGACAAGAAAGTGAGTCATTTTGGGGGAAACAGTGAATAGTCTAAGTTTTGAAGGAGCAGAGGGTACAGTGAGAGATAAGAGATGAAATATAGATTTGGGTTAGATTGTGGAAGACATTGGAATGCCAGGCTAAAACATTTGGACGTTATTGGTAGGTAATACATAGACATCGAAGGACTCTGATTAGAGGGATAACATGATCACTGCTATAAATTAGAAGTTTAATTTGACAATAGGGTATATGATAGGGAGACAGAGGAGATTATTAAGGGAGTTTTTTAGTGAGATCATTGCAATGGTCCAAAAAGAAGCAATATGGGAATCAACTTGGATGGTGACTTTGGAAACAGAAATGAGGAATACAATGATGATGATGACAAAGACAATAATAATAATTAAATAAACTTTAAGGTTTGTAAAGCAGTGTATGTGCATGTATGTGTGTGTATAATCTTATTTGATTTTCACAACAAATCTAGGAATCAGTTGCTATTATTATCCCCATTTGATAGATGAGGAAACTGAGGCTGAGAGAGATTAAGTGATTTGCCTAGGATCACAGAACTAGTAACTAGATTCAAGGTGCAGAATAAGACACATACTTTCAGATATGGCCATTGTGTGAATTTGTTTTGCCTGACTATGCATATTTCTTACAAGGTTTAAAAAAAATTTTTTTTTATAATGTAAGGAGTTGGAGAAAGAGACAGCAGAGAGATTGGGCTGTCTAAAAAATAAAAATAAGAAAGATCAAAAAAAGCATTTTTTTAAAAGGATAGAAGAGAATAGGTAGAAGGCCACAAGGAAACACAGATAAGCAGGACTGAAAGTTAGATATTGAATTTCTTATATATTTAAAAGGAAAAGCTCTGTATGTAACAGAGATTTATGGTGTCATTATAGTCCTGTTTTTCTTTTCTATTACATATATGAAATTGCTAATTTTATTTGATGTTTAAGCTAAGAATAAAAGCAAAATTAAAGAAAAGAAATGAAAAAGATGGAAGGGAGGGGAGGAAATATTACAGGGACAGAATAGCAAGATGATTACTGAATGAATAAACAGAGAGAGGGGAAAGATCCCAAGGTGATTCAGATTTTGGTGATGGGTCACTGAAAGAATAAGGAAATATGAGAAGAATGGGGTTTTTTTTTGGGGGGAAGCCTAGTTTTTGACATTTTGAGCTTGAGGTGAAAACACTCCTTACAGGTAGAAGTGTTTGCTGGTTGGTTGCAGACATAGGTCTGAAATTCAGGAAAAAGATTTGGGCTTGAAACACGGTCATTTCCAGAATCTTAGAATATAATAAATTTCATTTGTATTATGTTGTTTAGTGCTTAGGCAGTAGTCAGGAAGACCTAGGTTCAAGTACTGACTGATATATTGATTGTTGTGACCCTTAATCTCTCTGTGTCCCAGGCAATACTCTGACTCTTAAATTGCAAACCTACGTTAGTAGAAGGAATTTCCTCACTGGGAATTCCTGTGTCAATGAAATCACAAGTGCATTCCCCAAAATCATTAGTGATGTTGCCCTAGAGTTTTCTCTCTGTACGTTATTTTTCCTGCCTTTGTGTATCAGCATCATTACTTTTCTCATAGAAAGAATTTGTTAAAGTGCCTTTCTTCTATATTTTTGTAAACAATTCCCTTAAAAATCTGTGTTGATGGTTGTTTATTTTTTCCCCCCGTGGGGAAGTTCCATTTGTGCCGTGATCAGTTTTTCTTTCTGAGATACAATTGTTTAGAGTCTCTATTTCCTGTTTTGTTAATGAGAAGGTTTTATAGGTTTATATACTTAATTTTTGTTTATGTTTTCAGTTTTGTTAGCACAAAATTGTGAGTAGTAGCTTCGGATGGCTTTATTTCCTCACCATTGATTGAAGATTTCTACTTGCCAATTTTGATCCAGGTAAATTAATTTTCTTCTCTCTCCTTTTAAAAAATAAAATCAACTGATATTTGTCTTTAAAATAGCTTCATTCATTAGTCTTTTGTTTTCAGTCTTATTCATGTCTTTTGATCTTTAAAAATTTTCTATTTTCAGCTTTTTAAGGATTATTAATTTATTGTCTAGGGTTTTTTTAAGTCACATCAGTCATTATCTTTAATTTCTTTCTCTTTGGTTAATATAAGCTTTCAGAGAGTTAAATTTCAAATAAGAATTGCTTTGGCAACATGTTATAAATTAGGTGTCCTAAATGAAAGAATGAATGAAAAAGTAGTTGTTAAGTTACTATACATCAAGCACTGTTCTAAGTACTGGGGGTACAAATAGAAAAATGGCAACATTCCTCATTTTCAAAAAACATACATTGCAATTGGAGAAGACAACACATAGAAGATTACAGCTCAGCTATAGGACAGATGGAAAAACACAGAAATCCTAATTGGTTTGGTAATGAGACAGAAGGCAAAATCTTAGTAGGTCAGATGACAATGCCAGAGTCTGCAGGACATAGAGGCAGGTAAGACAGTAAGGTCTGGAGGACCTTAGGAGGTAACAGTAAGACAGTTAATAATGCCTAGGGGTCCTCCATCTCACTTTTTTTTCTCCAGGTTTCATTCCTGGCTCTCCAGATTTTCTCTCCTGTGCCATAGAAGCCTCTCTAATGTGGAAGCTCCCTCCACCCCTGAACTTCACACAATGGAAGTATTGTCTGTCCCATTAGCCTCTCCCTCTGATTCCTCCAAGAACTTCCATTTTAAGGGGGATTTCCTCTCCAGGCTGTACTCCTGAATCTTCAGACTTCTCTACCATGCTGATGAATTAGGTTCTTTCATTTCTCTTACCCCTCACCCCACCTCACCCCACTTTTAAGCTTCTTGTTTTGTGTTTTCTTCCCCCATAGGAATGCAAGCTTTTCTAGGACCACAAGCAAGAATCACCTACCCAGCAAAATGGACATTCAATAAGATAGAGGACTTTCAAGCATTCTTGATGAAAAGACCAGAACTGAATAGAAAATTTGACTTTAAAATACAAGGCTCAAGAGAAGCGTGAAAAGTTAAACAGGAAAGGAAAACCATAAGAGGCTTAATAAGGTTAAACTGTTTACATTCATATATAGGAAGATGATACTTGTAACTCATAAGAACTTTCTCATTATTAGGGCAGAAAGAAGGAGAATGTATAAACAAAGGACACAGGTGTGAGTTGAATATGATAGGTGATATCTAAAAAATAAAATTAAGGGATGAGAAAGAGGAATGCACTGGGAGAAAGGGAAAGGGAGAGGTAGGATGGGGTGAATTGTCTCACATGAAAGAGACAAGAAAGAGATTTTACAGTGGAGAAAAAGACGAGGGAGGTGGCAGGGAATGCTTGAACCTTACTATCATCAGAATTGGCTCAAAGAGGGAACAACATACACATTTAATTTTATGTAGAAATCTATCCTACCCTACAGGAAAGTAGGAGGGGAAAGGGATCAGAGAAGGGAAGTGCTAATAGAAGGGAAGGTAGATTAGGGGATGTAGTAGTCAGAAACAAAGCACTTTTGAGGAGGGACAGGGTGAAAGGAGAGAGAGAATAGAATAAATGGGGGAAATAGGATGGAGGTAAATACAGTTAGCAATCACAACTGAGAAAAAAAATTTTGAAGGAAGTTTCTCTGATAAAGGCCTATATAGATATAGATATAGATAGAAATACTCAAATTTATAAAAATAAGAGCCATTCCCAAATTGATAAATGACAAAAAATATGAACAGTTAGTTTTCAGATAAAGTAATCAAAGCTATTTATAGCCATATGAAAAATGCCCTAAATCACTACTGATTGGAGAAATATAAATTAAAATAATTCTGAAGTAATGCCTCACACCTATTAGATTGGCTAATAAAACAGAAAAGGAAAATGACAAATGTTGGAGGGGATGTGTGAAAATTGGGACAATAATGCACTATTGGTGGAGTTGTGAACTGATTTAACCATTACTAGAGCAGTTTGGAACTATGCCCCAAGGCTGTAACATCATTCATATCCTTTGACCTAGCAATACCTCTACTAGGTCTGTATCCCAAAAGAGATTTTTTTTAAAAAAAGGAAAATGACTAATATGTATTGTTTTGTTGGGGGTTTTTTTGGTTGGGCAATGGGGATTAAGTGACTTGCCCAGGGTCACACAGCTAGCAAGTGTTATGTGTCTGATTCTGGATTTGAACTCAAGTCCTCCTGAATCCAGGGCCGGTGCTCTATCCACTGTGCCATCTAGCTGCCCCGAAAAGGACTAATATGTACAAAAATATTTATAGTAGCTCTTTCTAGGATGGCAAAGAATTGGAAATTGGTGGAATGACCATCAATTGAGGAATGGCTGAACAAATTATGGTATATGAATGTAATGGAATACTATTGTACTCTTAAGAAAAAATGAGCTAGATGCTTTCAAAAAAACCTGGAAAGACTTGTAGAACCAGTAGAACATTGTACAAAATAACAGCAATATTGTATGATGATCAACTGTGAATGACTTCACTATTTTCATCAATACAATGATCCAAGACAGCTCTGAAGGACTTATGGTGCAAAATGCTATTCATCCCCAGAGAAAAAACTGATGAAGTCTGAATACAGAGCGAAGTATACTTTTTTTTAACTTTCTTTATTTTTCTTGGGTTTTTATTTTGGTCTATGTTTTTCTTTACAACATGACTACTATGGAAATATGGTTTGTATGACTACACATGTATAACCTTCATCAAATTGCTTGACTTCTCTATGAAGAAGGTTGAGAAGGAGGGTTAGAACCTGGAACCCAATTGTAAAAAATAAATATTGCAAGTTGTTTTTACATGTAATTGGCGGAGGGGGTGGGAAATGCCAAACATTGTAAACCTAAAAAAAAAAAGCTCCTTTAGGGCCAATACTATTTTACTTCTGCTTGTATTTGCATTCCTGGCACTTGAAACACTGTAATATTTTGTTACTAAAAAAAAGTGCATTGGCTTGATGGAATAGGACACCTATTGATAATCCTGTTATTGGGATTGAATGGAGACTATTTATTGAAAAAATGATGGGCTAAGTGCATTAAAAGTGAACACTGCATTTTTAAATCATCAAATGCTATATAATAAAATAAAAACAAACAATAAAAGAAATATCATATCTAGTTCTAGGTACCACATTTTAGGAAAGGTATTCAAAAGGTGGCACAATTCCAGAATTGGGTAAGCGGGGAAATCGTGCTATCTAAGGATTGTTTGAAAGATTCTGGTATGTTTACCCTGGCAAAGAGGCAACCTTTAGGGGCAACATGCTTAGAGTTTTCAAATGTTTAAGAGTTTGTCATGTAAAGAGGGATTAGATTTATTCTTCTTGGTCCCAGAGCATAGAACTAGGACCCATGGATGAAAGTTAAGAGGGGAAAATTTCAGTTCAATAAAAGAAATTCATTGTCTGTA